TATTCGGCACTTTCGATCATTCCACTTTAATTCATTCTCTTGCGATCGTATATGTGTGTGTTAACCAATTGAATTTGTAATTCGTCAAATCAGAATCGCTATCATATTCTGTTTGTTGTCATTTTTCTGTGGAAATTTCAATTCGCAATCAGTTCGCTTGTAATTTTTTCAAGCAAGCTTATTGAAAATCTCATTTCATTCTATAATATCATCGCTCGTTGAAAACCACCTCTTTATCTTTCTCAGTAAGACGATGATGTGGGTGATTTTCATCGCACGAATGATTCGACATTTCGTCGATCTCTTCAAAAACATCATTATTCATTGATGAGTCTCGCATCGGTACACTCAAATCACCGTTATACGAGCTATGTCGTAATCGTGCTGAAATATTATCATCGTCTATAACAACCATTAACAAATCCCCAATTACACAAACCTCACGAATCAACATTCACACAAATCGAATATGGCAATATCATCTAAATTCATCTTTCATATCGAATAATTTGCTTGATTCCTCCAGGTTTTCATCCACGGCGAAATACCGCTCAAAAGCAATGCGCTAGTGAGGAATTAGCTTCGAAAAATTAACAAAGCAATAAAAACGAAAGGATTGGAGACAAAATTATTTTCATTCTTTCAATTGCATATCTCTTCGCAGAAAAACAATTGTTGTATTATCTCATTTACTTGCACATTTGAAAATTCGTGGTTTCAGATTTAAAAATGATCTGAAGATCTTTTTTTGAGTGAGCAATTATCGAATTCCAATTCTTTAAAACGTTTGTTCAGTTTCATGGTGCCGTGTTTATCTCGTGACAAGATATGAAATTCTATTTTACCTGCTGTGAATGCTTCATGATCACGAATTTTAACAATTTTTTCAATTTTTTTCCATTCTTCAACGGCCGTATTATAATTGTTCACAAATTCTGTGTATTTATCGTTGATGTTCTCAGTCCAACTCAACAGCCCCAAAAGATACGGCCACGTTTCACGTCTCAACGCATTCCCATCAGAATCTTTCACGCCGTACCGATACACTCGTACCATAAATTCTCGTTCCAATGCTTTCTGCAACAAAAATTTTCATTCTCGCATAGTTTCCATTAATCAGATCTATTGCTCATGCATGTGAAATTGCAACTTCGCATAAGACCGATATCATACGCAATTTGAATTTTTGGTATTTCATGGAATTTCAACAGAAAAAATTTTAGTCATTAAAACAAACCGATGGTTCACTTCTACACTGCGCCCAAAACGCTTCATCAACAGGCCCTGAGATTTGCTCGTCTAAAGGGTCGTTTTCGATCAATCTTGACAAATGCGTTCGTACGGTACGTAGGTGACGACAATACGCTAACCCTTCAACGTAAAGTGAATATTTACGAATTTTGAGCGAATTGACTTTCGGATTTGTAAAACAGAATTAATATTGGTTAAGCTCGAATGATTTTTACTTCAGGAATCACAGAAAGATGAAATCAACGATGAATTTCCCAGATATTTCAGTGAGGTCTATGGAATAATCCAGTAAGTGAGTCAAATGAAAAATTGATTTTCGCAAACAAAACAAAAAACTAAAATAATAATGACAAAAACGAACAGCCATAAAATGCTCGTGCTAAAATTTGCATTCTCATCGATGTACACGCGCTGCTGAGATTTTGTCTGAAATTCAAAAGTTTCAACTTCTTTCGAGTGTTCTCCTCTCATCAAACCGTCGGCATGGAGCCATAGGTAAAATCGTCAATGGAATTTTACCATGATTTGGGTGATTTTAAAACATTATTCTAGATTTTGAGAAATAATAGAGGATTGAGGACTGAAGATAATAGGGTAATATGAATTAAGGAAAAAGGAAATCATAGGATAATGTTTATGATAGAGGATTAAAAATCTCATCAAATAACGAGAATATCAGTGAGATATTGCAATAATGATAAATTGCATCAATAGCAATGATAATGATACAAATGAAATTACACCAATACCAACAATAGTAACAATAAAAAGTAAACGACCTAACGAGTCGATCAACGGTGCTGTCGCTCTCCGTACGTCTCTCGCTAGTGCAACGCATAACCGCATCTTCATTTCTAGAATCAGTAGGATATGAGAAGATCTTTATATTAATTCAGATGCATTAG